CAAAGATAGATATTTTGAATTTTATACAAATAAATATAAAAAAAATTAAAACTGAGGAGTGCCAGTTACCACTTCTCTCTCTTTGCCCTTGTTCATAACGTTGTTTCGTGGCAAAATTGATGATTGCATTTAGGGTTGAAAATGGACTCAATGAATCTACTGTTAAGCTTGATATTTCCTTTTCTATTTTGGAATTGGTTAACCAATCAAATGGGCTTACTTTTTATCGAATGTCGAGTATATTTGTCTTCACTTTTAAGGTCACTAGAATTTCACTTGACTAGTCTTGCCAATTACGACCCACCCCCCATACAGGCCATCAGTGATGCAGCAACTTGTTTTGACCTAGCAATTGGTCATAACAGCTCTCCCTTGATGGTTCTACATAAAAAACTTGGTGATTTCTTTTGACCTGTAACACCCCCTTGCTGATGTGCCCTCGTGGTACTATCTCGGAATCCCATTGAGGTTTCTTTTTATATAAAGTTATAGATTTATAGCAAACACACTGGTTAGTAATCGAACATAAAATATTTATTAATGATTTTTATTATTTCTTTTATTGACAGGGCCTGTAATTACTTAATAAACATGAAATTTACTAGCATCCAATTATGTGAATCTTTTATAGTTTTAACATAGTTGTTTATGTAGGATATATCACAAGTTATCTATTGTAATGCTTATTAAGTTTCCTTATATGAAAATATCTTATGTTTCATATGTTATAGATAATTTACAAGAAGGATATACTGATTGTCAAGAAAATTTAGTGGACAATAATTTTCTTGAACTTCGAAAGAAATCATTTGAAAATCACAACAAGGATAGATATGTATCATCGGATGCCATAGAGGTGGAAATTATAGATGCTCTAATATTTCACCAGAGCAAAAGAAAAGAAAGACATTATCTCGGCTCATAAAATTGTCCTTTAGAAATTTGTGGAAAAAAAAAAGTAAGTATGCTATTTGTGTAATTTTTTCCTGAAGTTATTTCTTCAAGTTTGTTATATAAATTTGTATCAGTGTATGAACGCACGAGTTTCTAATAGAGGAATACTCTCTTCCTTTTTATTAAGTTGTGATTATAATAAAAAATTGTAAAAATTTCAATAAGCAAAAATAAAAATAATTAATATTATGGAGAGTGAATAGACAAACATTAATATATTGAATTAAAGTTTAACTTTAATAAAAAGAAGTTATTTAAGTGAAGGTAATTTAGGAAATTACAATGTTAAGTTGTTAGTGAGAGTGTGAATAGACAACAGGGAGTACCAATAACCTCTCCTAAAAATCAATTGTAATTTTGTAAAAGTAATTTTAGTATTTATATCTATAAACATAATCAATAGTTTTTTTTTACTATATTTATACCATTTAAATTACTATTAACTAGCTAATATATTAATTAAAGTGATTATTCAACATCTCCAAGAGGGACTTCCAACAATAAGAACTTAGAAGTGTAATAAGTTCACTAGTTATATTTGGGAATGGGAGATATGAGACGGAATGAAAGAGGATTCCATTTTATTATAGAGTTCAAGGCCCAATAAATTTCCGCAGTTCAATTAATATTTATTAATCTATAATTTACAATTCTTAATAACATTAAAGAACATATAAATATTTAATTTTGTTTCATATAAATAAGATTTAGCTAAAAAAATACATTAACAAAATATTATTACACATTAGATATATAAAAACTAGCAATCATGTATAGAAGTATCAATTCAATTGAATTCATAAATCCATGAGTTAGCATTTGGGTAGTTGGCTCAATGGTAGGTGTGTACAATAATTAATAATTTACCGTATAAAATATATAATGAGTTTATAACATAATTTGGATGAAAAGGCTTCTTTGATAAAGTTATTGATTATGAAAATATTACTTCATAATGAAAAGTTTAAGTTTAAGAAAATTTTAATAAAGTTTTATTTTAAATTAAATAACTTTTTAAAACTAATAGTTGATTAACCGTTATAAGTCAAAGTACACTTGTCATTTTATATCACGTAACATTAAAATATATTCATATCATATTATAATAGATGATGACATAATATATTAATATGATATGATAATATGATTACGTGACATTTTCATTTTTCACATTAACGTTATGTCCACGTCATATAGGTATAAAATAACAAGTGATATTTTAATTAATGATAATTAATTAATTAGTAATCATAAGGGTTTATTTAATTCAAAATAAAATGTAAGAACTTGATGGAATATAATAAAAAATTGAAAACTTATTTAAATTTTCTTAAATAATTCAGATACTTTTTCAAGTATTATGTCATTAAAATAGAATTATAAACAAAAGAAGAAGGAAGAATTATTAGTGAAGGTTATAGTTAAAATTATTTTATACATAAAACCCAATCAAAATGTCTAAATAAATTAAATTAAAACAGAACTGCAGCAACTGAGACAGCAATCTAAAATCTCATTCGTCAACACTAAATTAAAGTCCACATAAAACTCCGCAACCAATGGTCTAGATCCACATAAAACAACAAATTAAAGTCCAAAAACTGCTAAATAGAGGAGAAGAAAGAAAATTGTAATCCATAAAAGAGAGTTGGAAGTTAGAAGCTGTAGATCAGTGGACTATCATTGGTTGCAGCACACCTGATAATTATCACAGTTGTTTCCTTCCCCTACACGTTCAGTAGATATACATATTCCCTCTCCAAATAAAAAATAATAATTATAAGTTGTTAGTTTGATTAAAAAAATACAAATTAAGGTTAAACTAAATCAGGTTTCTGGCTTATTTTACTTAAGATAATGGCTTCCACCATGGAATAATAAAGTAGATTAAAAAAGTTCGTAAATATTGATAGTGATAGGTGCCCTAATTAATTATAGGAAGAAAAATAAGAAAATCGATCCCAATAAACGTATATTAATTATCGTGACTTAAGGAAGAATTAAAAGGTAATTAGATTCCTTTTAAAAAAAGTAATTAAATTAATATGTTAAAGTTAACAATGTGATTAATCCCGATATTTGAAGAAAAATTTCAAAATCTTTAGAATGAGTGAAACAAATAATGGGATTATTATGTAATGTTACTTAACAATTAAGCTTATTTACTTGTTATTGTAAACACTGATTTATACTAGTTTAGTTCAAAAATATCAATAATCTCACAAACTTAATAATGATAGGTACAGCTTTTGAATAAAAAGCCAAATTGGAATATACATATGAACAAATAAAATAAAAAATTAAACTAAATGAAAATCTACTCCTAACTATTAATTAAGAAGCTATATCAAAGCAAATAAGTTTAATAAAATACTAAAAAATAATGCACTTTCCATTAATCAAATTACATGACAGTCACAAAATAAGTAAGCTCATTGAAATAATAAAAGCAATGAACTTTTGTGCATTGAAATTACATAATAATCAAAGTGATGGTTGAACATAATAGAAGAATTAAAATTTATTTAAATTTTCATCAATAATTGAAACACTTTTCCAAATATTATGTCATTAAAATAGAATTATAAGTAAAGATAGGAGGAATTATGACTACAATTCCAATCACGCAGCAGATTGCGTTGGACATCTTACTGATTTTCAGACAAATTTAATCACTCAGCATATTGCATCGGGACAGCTTTTTGATTTGTGTGGATGCATTTAATTGGCGGAAGGTAGCTATAAGATTTTAATGCTTTAATTAAAATTCCAATCACACAGCAGTTTGCGTTGGGACATCTTGTACTGATCTTTACAAAGCACAGGATTGCCGGGTTCTTCATATCGTTCAAAAAAATAAAATAAAATTAGGAGTGATTACAGTGAAGATTAGTCCAATTAGTAGTATAAAAGGTTTATTTTATGGTCAAATACTCCTAAATAAGGCAATGGAATTACTGGGAAAAAGAAAGGGCAATGTAATCACACATATGACATTAATTGAATTATAATCAAATGTTCGATTAAGTACTTAAAGTATAAAATAATCTAATTATCCCATTAAAATCCTAATTTCTTTTGTAGTATTATGTAATTTCCCTTTAGAGTGCTTTTTACGTAATTAATAAATTTTATTGAAACTCAAGTTATGCAAGGAATCAGAGATCCCCCCTTAAAGCATTTTAGAGATTAATTGATACAATATGCTCATCAAATTGGTATTTGCGACATCTACATGCTTCTCTGCTTAGTCTCTTGGGTCCGAGCTTCTTATATCACCTCAACACCATAATTTTTGGATTTCATCTTTTATCTCATTGCTAACATATATCTGCAGTTTTTTTTTTTTAGATAAATATTATAGTGCATTTCTAACTTATCTAAAAAGATAAAAATGAATTTTGTAGAATACTCTTTAACTTTAATGGGCCGACGTTGAATTCATTTGATATTGTTACCCATCACCAAAGTGTACACTTGGTATTCACGAGATAATGACAGTTATTTAAATCATAACACTTTTAAAAGTATTCATAAGTTCATGACATTTATTTAAATCACATTACTTCTAAATACTATAAAAAAAAGCATTTTTATTAGCAATTGCTCCTGGTTGATACCTTGTCCTTTGTCAACAACTTAAGTCAGAAGATTATTTTTCTAAAATGAATTCAAATGTATCACATCCTGGAGCTCCTGTGTTTGAGACATACATTCTCATTGTCATGAAATTTTCAAATGCGTTTCATTTGTCTTTGCTATTTGTTTCATAAGATTGAAGGTTATTGTTAAAATTATTTTATGCATAAAATCCAATTAAAATGTGTGAATAAATTAAATAAACACTGAATTGCAGCAAGTGAGACAGCAATCTAAAATCTCAGTCATCAAAATACCAAATCCAGAAACAAAGATGAAAGAAAACTAGTAAAACTCCAACATTCACATTAAGAACAAAGCCCAAAAGCTGCTAAATAGAGGAGGAGAAAGAAGAAAATTGTAATTGATAAAAGAAAGTTGTAAGTTAATTAATTAAAAGCTGTGGATCAGTCGACTATCACTGGTTGAGTCATGCAGCACCTGAAGCGAGCCTTGCGAACAGTTGTCATGATCTCAGTTTCAGCAGTCTCGAGCATATTCACAATGTCGGAAAAGGGAGGACGGACTTCAGGGTCAGCGTCCCAGCAGCGGGTCATTATTTCACTCAGAATAGGGAGACAATCCTTGGGAATGGCTGGCCTTGCACCATTTTGAACCACGCAAGCAGCTGCCTGCAGTGCTGTCATTCCTTGGAAAGGAAGCAAGCCGGTGACCAGTTCCCAAAGTACGATTCCAAAGCTATAAACATCCACCTTTTGCGTGTAAGGCCAGTTTTGAATCATCTCCGGAGCCATCCAACGGTATGTTCCTGTGTGGGGTGTCATTCCCTCGGAATGAACTTGGATACGTGCAACGCCAAAATCCGCAATCTTTATCGATTTATCTGCCGCAATTAAAAGGTTATCTGACTTCAAATCCCTGTGAATGAACCCGAGTCCATGAATATATGCCATTCCTTTTGCAACATCTAATGCTTGCTTCACTGTCAACTTCAATGGCATCGGACGATTCTGCCTGTTTTTCAAAAACTGTCGAACTGAGCCTCCCTTTGCGTATGCTGTGACAATGCCCCAAACCATTGGCTTACGGCATGCTCCTATAAACTGCACAACATTTGGATGGTTCAGTGTCGCAAGTATCATAACTTCCTGCTGAAACTGCCGTTCCAGAGCCTGTGCAATCTCAGGTTTATCTGCTGGTCGTTCTAATATCTTGATCGCAACATCCTCTCCATTATATTTCCCTCTAAATAACTTCCCGAAAGTTCCTTCAGCAAACGCTGCACCCATGACAAGCCTTTTCAGATCAACAGTCCACTCCTCATAATTCTCCAATCCTTCAGTTGGATTCTTACAATCCATCAAAGCTTGTGCTAATGCATCATCGTCAAGTTTATGGCCCCACTTGCGGCGACGAAACAGATTTTGTGGCAGAGAGATAGAGAAATTGTAGCGGTTCACAGGAGGATGGCTTAACATTGGAGTCTGAGAATTACTACTAAAAGCCGTGCTACAGTTATCCATGGTCTTGGATAAAGATTCTTCGTCGCTCGGTGGCGAACTGTGATAACTTCTTGTTCTTTTTATTGAGGTTTTAGTGAAAAACTTTGAACCAAAAATAATTAAGTTATTAGTTTGATTTGAAAAAAAGAATAGTAGAAATTAAGGTTAAACTAATAGTCATTTTTTTCTTTTATTTTATTTAAGGGAATGGGTTCAATCATGGTATAATAAGGTAGATTAGGAAAGTTCCCAAAATATTGATATTAATTGACTCCGTAATTCATTATAGAAGGAAAATAAGAAAATCAATCCTAATAAAAGCATATTAATTATCGTGATGTAGGGAGGAATTAAAAAGGTAATTAAATTAATTTGTTAAAATTAACAGTGTGATTAATTCCGATATTTCTTTCTGGGGAAATTTAAAAATCTTTAAAATTAGAGAAATAAAGAGGGAGATTATTATTATGTTAATAGTGAGAAAATCTACTCCTAACTATTAATTAAGAAGCTATATCAAAGCAAATAAGTTTAATAAAATAACAAGAAACAATGAATTTTTTATGAATCAAATTACATATATGGTACCAGTAAAAAAAATGACATATATAGTTACAAAATAAGTAGGTTCATTGAAATAATAAAATCAATGAACTTCTGAAATTACATAATAATAAAAGTGATGATAATTTAATAGTGACTTATTAAATAAATGAATAAGTACAAATATAATATGCAAAAAATTAGAAGATCCAACCAAAGTAAATTAAAGAATATAAATGCTGGCTGGCAATTAAACGATGGCTGTTTATATATCTAACTGAATGTTCGAATCAAGTTAGAGGTGATCATAAAATAAAATAATTTAATAAAAAGAAAATAATTTGTTAAGTTTGTATATTAACGAGATGACATTATGTAATTAAGTGATTTTTTTTAAAAATGTAATTTTATTACTGATTGCCATAACTAAAAGTACCTTAGGATTTATTTACAATAAAATAAAAATACAAGGGGAAATAAATAAAAACCCCTGAATACAAGTAGGGTAGATGAAGGGATATCCAGGCCTTAACTAGCTATTTGAACATATTAACTCACAGAGCAGACATTAAAATGCCGAAGAAACTAGTTTCATGTTGTCCCAAATTGTAGTATATCCGATTCTGAACTACAATGTTGCGTGTGAAGCTGCAGAATTAGGACATATTAATTTGTTTGTCCCACCTACATGCAAATAGATATATAAATCCGAACCTGTGTGTACTGTGCCACCTTGCACAAAATGAGTCCAAGCATGAAAGAAATATACATCAGTTTAAAATTCAAGCTCGTCACAGCCTGCTGCAAAAGAAGTCCAACAGCAAAGGAACTCCTAAATTTCAGAAACTTGGATGATATGTTACCATTCAAAGCACCCTAGCTCCTTAACCAAATGATGAGCTAAACTATTCCCACTTGTCAAAATATGTGATAATTTCCAGCATGGTTTACCCTTTTGCAAGTTAATAATCTGAATTCAGTGCTGTCTAAATCTCCCAGGGAGCATTAAGAGGATTATTCACCCGATTTACAGCATTCAAGGAATCACTTTCCACCCACAAGATAGAGTATAAACAAAAAAAAAACCTTCTTAATGGCCAAAATTTATGTTAAGCTTGCATCCCCTTCACCTACAACTTCAGAAAATTTGAGTAAAATCGAACCATCATGATTCCCCAACACACCGCAAATTCTACTGGACCTGGCTTTCCTAGGGTTGAGCTATTCACGCTGAATTTTAACCAACCAGCTTCAGAAGCTTGCCACTTAACCTCTTTACTAGTTGGAATTGTACTCTGAGATATAGAAATTAATTGTGGATTTCTAAATATACGTACTATACTGTCAGTCATTGTTATTATATTGATAATGTTACTGAATATAAATTCAAGAATTAATTATAAATACTTAATAAAATTCTGAACTATCTAAAAAAAATTAAATAAATTCGTATTCTTCTATTATGTTCAATTAAGTTTTCGTATTTTTATTTTAAATTAAATAATTATTTATTATTAATCACCATTAGTCAGAATGTCACTTATTATTTTACACATTAATCAACTATTTAAGAGTTTTTTAAGAATTATACAAATTTAGACCAAACATTCAATGTAACTTCAATGGGATTTTTTTTTAACTTTTCTTGTCTGTATAATTTTTTTTTCCATTTTGGAAGACAATAGATGAGAGGACTTTTTGATCTAAAGGTTTCTAGAACTTGTGAAGTGGGCTTCCTTAATTCGCGAAATTTGATTGCTAATCAACTCATTCTTTGTGTCATTAGAGAATCAAATGAATGATTTTCATGATTTCATCAATATTTTTATTTCATTGATTTGGTTAATTTATTACACCAAATTTCTCCCCAAGTTCCTCCGAAAAACCATGCGTAGTCATTATATTTGATTTTTTTTTCTATATTTAGGGTTTAAATTCATTGAAGAATTTTGTTTACTTTGCTTTTGTACTGAAAAAAATAAATAAAAAGAAATTTGTTTAACTTTCCATTTATTCTAGCAACGCAACGCAATTGATTATCCATCCCTCTTGTTGTCCTAAATTACTAAATCAGTACACGATACTTGGTAAGTAAATTAATTCCTTCATATATGTCATATGCATTATCTTTCGATTTTATGTGATTCACTTTCCTCCAATAAAGTATTTTTAACTTAATTTTCAATCATTTCTTCCATTTAATGTTGTCATGAACTTTTAAAGTAACATAAACTACGTTCCCAAATTTTTTTTTTTAGAATTACAAATTTTTTTTTTTAGAATTAGGGGAGGGGGGTTTCGAACACTGCTTTTAAGACAAAGGAATTATGCAGGGAAAATTACACAATTTTATTGCTAGATGTTAAAAGAAAAATACTTTAAACTTATTGGTACAAGGAAATTGGAATACAAAAATGAATAAATAAAATGCATAAATCTCTAAGAGCAAAAAGCTTGGATAAAGGGATATCCAAACACTAGTGAAAAATCAGCTCACAAAAATATCCACTGTGGAATATTAAACCAGCCCAAAATCATAATTTCTCAAAAAATCCCAGCACTGGTTTCAAATCCCAGCTCGATCACCTCAAATAGGGACCCAAGCGAACACAACTTCTCAAAATTTAAATGGCCCTTGCATTCGGATTAAATTAAAACCGAACCTCCTACTTCACTCATACTTCTACAAAATCAAGTAATCTATATCATCCATAACTCTTACACTCCATTAAATTCAATATGATCAGCCTCCCTCAACACAGCCTATTTGGCCAGCTCATCAATCCTAGAGTTTACCTCCCATAAAAAGTGCATTAAGTTAAAATTCCAAAGTATATTATCAGCTGCATTTTGCAAGTCACTTTCAATCCATAATTTAAATTGTGAATTTTTTAAGTATCTTATGAACCGTGAAAAAGCTTCACAAAAGGTCAAAATCTTTACATGATTGGCATCCCATACTCCCACATTTTTATAAAATTTCATAAGTATTTCACCACTAGAGTCCTGTAAAATTGCCCTAATTCCTACCTTGCCCAAATTACCAGCTGATGCCTCATCAACATTGAACTTAATCAAACCTATTTGACATTTCCAAATTTATTAACTTTGATTTTCTGATTTCAATAGACATTAACTCAATACATTAAATTTAAAATATATATGACAGCAGTAAATTTGATTTCATAGATTTTTTTTTATAAATTTCATTACTGTTTAATTAAATTAATTTTATTCTTTTCCTTTTTGTCAATATTAAAAAAAATTGGGCAAAAATATCAAGATTAAAAACCAATATCATCATGTACTAAAGGTTTCTAGTAAGGGTCAGATCAGATTGGGCTTGCTGAAAACATTGAAAACCTAGGCCTAGGCCCGAGGCTAGCCTAGTCCATCCATTTATGCTATATTTCATTATCAAAATAAGGAAAACTATATTATATTCATATTTGTATGCTTTTAAATAAATTTTTAAAGTAAAATGAAATAAAAATATATAATTTATTAATATAATAATATCTTCTGACCGGGCCACGCTAGAAAATTAATACACTACTATGTTGGGCTACTAGTTCAAGCTTACAAGCCTAGCCAATTCTAGTCGGGCTTGGACATGAATTTTAAGCTCGAAACCAATCAAATTAATTGATTTAATTAATAAATAATATATGATTTAGTTTTAAGTTTGAAAAATATTTAAATATCAATATAAAATAATATTTTATTAATGTAATAATAAAATAATATATAAATGAACGATCAAGCTGAGCTTGATCTTTACAAAGGAAGGTAACTAGGTCTTGAATAGCTTCATTATGTTGCAAAAAACACTATTATTATTTATTTAGTTTATATACATTTACATATATCCATTTTCCTTTTCAACAACTATATTTGTGAGTGCCATCCAGTTTTATAACACAAGATTACAAAAAAAATTATTGATATATATTATTATGTTGCATATTGAGCCTAAGTACCTATTCTGGTTAATGACTCTCCTACTAATCTATTAAGTTGCTGACAGGTCTTTGACAAGGATATTCGTTGTCTCTTTTTCTATTTAACATAGTAACAGAAGCTTTTAGTTGGCTACTGGTGAAAGTAAGGGCAAAACACATTTAGTGGTATATCAATTGGAGACAAAGGTTTGAGATTTTCCCATTTACAATATGCTGATGATATTTTGCTATTCTATGAACCTAATTTAGAATGTTTGCTAAACATGAAACAGGTTTTGAGATGTTTTCAAATAGTTTCGGGATTAAAGATTAATTTTTAGAAAAGCAATCTTTTTGGATTGCCGAAAACATGGGCAGCATGAGTATGTTGCAAGGTTGGTACGTTCCTAACAACTTATCTGTGTTTTTCATCGGGAGCTAGTCTTACGTCGACGGAAATATGGTAACCTGTGGTAGATCACTTTGAAGCAAAATTGACTAGATGGAAATAAAAAAAAATGCTTTCATTGGGAGGTTGAGTTACTTTGCTTAAATCAATGTTGAGTAGCTTACCCATATTTTATATGTCATTATTCAAAAAGTCGTAAGGGC